TGCCTGCTGCTCAGCCCGATCTGCCCAGTACATACCTTCATCGCTGCGTTCATCGTCCTCCAAGCTGTGACCACCAACATGCTCTGATGGACGGAGGCCCTGCCCAATGCTTGCTTCGACATCAAAGGCCTCCGACTCGGACATGTTGGCGTGTGTTGTATACATGCGAGGTTGGGCCTGAGAGGGCGGTAGAATGATCCTGGGTAGAGCGGGGGTGATCACAGACGGCCGGCCATTGATGAGGAGTCATACACGTCTCAGCGGTTTCTCCGGCGGATCTGGGACCTGTACAAACACAGCGGTGAGTGTTCCATTATTCTCCTTCTGTCATTATTCTGACGCACTCGTATGGTGGCAGACTGCTGCATATATGGAAGAAAGTCACGCCTGATGAACTCAAACTCGCGACGTGCATTATCAACATCGTAGTGAGCAGGAGTATCCTTGTTCTTGGCTAGGCGCTGCTTCAGTGCTCGGAGCGCGTGCCAAAAACAGAGCTGATGCTTCGATCTTGGCCATGTGGTGCGCATGGCGTTGATCTCCGACCAATCCTTATCCGTAAGCGTATACTCAGGGTTCACGCCAGCCTTCTTCAGCTGGCCCAGAAACCTCGTAAGTATTGCTTCTTTTGCTCCCTTGTCTGCTTCCTTTCTAGTCGAGACAAGCAGGAACGCTAGTGGGATGCCTGACCCCTTTGCATCAGCAACCGCTGCGAAGAGTTCGAAATTGGTTCCGTTGGTGTTCCCTGATCAGATCTAAAGTTAAGATTTACTTCCGTTTGGGGATAATCCTGACAGACTCACACGTCGAATCCATTGCTAGTTCCTGGGTATTTGCTGCCCACTCTCGCACAAAATCGACGACTTGGAATGCAACAACATCGGTTCCCGGCTCGGCCTTCACGTCCAGGGGGGAAACATGATGGTCCCCAGCTTGCTGAACGTACATCCTCGCCGACTCAAGTGGATTATCTGCGAGTTTCCACTCGCCTCTGCTGACTATATGCCAGTAATAGTACACAGCCTTTGATCGGTATGGCAAATTGACCTCTGTGACAGCCTGTCCCTCTAGCTCCTCCCGTACAATATGGCGCCAGATCTGAAGGGTTGACATACATAAGTGTCACACAGCCTGAGGTTAAGGATCCAAATTTGTACGTACTTCACCAGGAGTTTGGTGCCGTGCATGCTTGCTGATGTATTCCTTCCAGTGCTCCGGGAGATCGATGTCAACGTATGCGAGGTGCTGTACTGTGTGCTTAACTGACACAGTCATCTCAGACGTCTCGCCAGCCACTGTGATGTGCAGCCATCCGTCACAAGGGAAGCGGTCCATACGACGTGCGGTGCGTGGCTTCAACGTCTTAGGTTCCTTTTTCTTCTGCTCTCGCTCACTTGACTGCGCACAGCTGAAGCTGTACACTGTGTCCTTGGTGCGGACACGGTGCCGCTTTGCCTCGTAACTGCTCCGCGCGGTCAGTGACTTGTGAGTACTACAATATTCTCATCTATGGTCAACATTGCTGTACTCACGTCCAATGTAGCATCATACGCTCCCCTGCTATCTCCGCAATCATGTCGGCTCGCTTCCGTGCATCCAGATGTAGCGGGGCGATGTTTCCGGGATCAATGCGCGCCTTCATCTCGAAGTTTGGTACTTCCATGCCCTCTACGGCGCCCTCGAGGAAATCCGTGAGAGCCATAGGGTCCAGTGAGTGCTCGTTCTCGTCCGAGTCATTGTCGCGTGGCTGCTGCCGCTTCTTCCCCTTGTTCTGCCTGCATTCATTCGCCTTGTCCATACAGGAGCGACATGCCGTTGTAGGTTCCCCCTTCTTGCCGGTCACAGAGTCCTTGACACGGGCGGGGAAATCAGATTCAAGGTAAGTGTTATGACAATCCTTGCATCTTTTCGTTGCCATGAGCTAAGAGCAGGATAGCCAGTGTTGAGACGTAGAGCAGGAGATGGGCAATAGCCCCTGTGCTGCACCTTGGCGGGGTGCCGGCGCGCAAAGGTCGTCAGTAACAAAATTACATTGACTTGGCTAATCAACTTTTGTAACTGCTGTCTAATGTACATTACTTAATACTGTAAGAACCCTTTTAATGCACGTTGTAATGGGGCGCGACGAGACTTAGAGACGTTCGGGGCGATCACGCCACAGCCGCCACAGCGGGGTTTGAAATGCCCTGCAAACTCGCTGGGACATTAACCCCAAGTGGGTAAGATTATTTCGCCTTCGTCAGTCTTTCGGAGCACACGGATCCGGGTTCCGTGCGTCCCCGCCACTCCGACCTCTCTGAAGAGATTGCACATCTCGGGTGTATTGTGCGTTTGATCACTCTTTTGTCCCAACTCTCTGCACTTAGTCCCTTTGAACCATGCCCCCTCGCGCAACACGCTCAACCGCCAAAGCAACTAAGGGCGCCAAGGACAAGCCCCAGGCCGCGACAGCGACGCCGGCGGTAGAGAAGCCCAAGGTCACGAAGACGGCAAAGCCCAAGCCCCAGTCTTCGTCCCACAACGATGATGCTGAACCTGTCGTCCCCGCCCCCGCTCCCATGAGCTATCATGCCAGGCTTAAGGAAGTAAAGAAACATATGAGGACGGTACTCAATTTGCCAGAGAAAGAGCTGGACAAGGTAGCGAGGGACGCCGTGGCTCAGGAGGTCAAGAAGAGGGGCTCAGGGGAGAAGGAGCGTCAGGAAGGTGAGCCGATGTCCATAGCATAATGATACTCAATATATTCTATGGAACCCAGACATACAGGAGAAGATGGCTGCCATGATGAACAACGAGGGGTCGACTGGTGGGGAAGTCGATGAGCTGGAGCCTAGCGACAAGGAAGCCGACCCCCGCGATGAACATGAGGTCGAGCCAGATGAGCCCGCTGCTCGCGACAAGGGGAAAAAGAAAGCGGGTATGTAACTCAATTCAGTGTTATTGTGATCGTTGCTCTGAGGCTGTCTCAGGGCCGCCTGCGAAGCCACCATCTACCCCGCTGCGAGGAAAAAGGAAGGCCGCCGATTCTTCCGACGACGAGGGTAGCAATGGCGGGTCTGACTTGACGAAGCGTGGACAGAAGAAAGTGAAGAGATATGTCGTTCCAACGGGGCCGCCAAACTCGAAGCGTCAGATGGAAGTCATGATTCCAATTTCCCCAGAGCGTGCCAAGAAGATGCGTGCACAATCTGTGCCATCCCAGGACGAGGACAGTCTCACTGCACGTCTTGGTGAGTACATTCGCTCCGAGTTAACGATGACGCTTGATACTTCATCAGGTGCGAGGGGCCCAAAGGCGACGGCTCGAGTTGTGGTGGACAGTGACAACGACATGGGGAGCGACGAGGCAAAGAGAGACAACAAGGGGAAGGGCAGCGATGAGGAGAAGGGGAGCGACGAGGCGAAGGGGAGCGACGAGGCGAAGGGGAGCGACGAGGAGAAGGGGAGCGACGAGGAGAAGGACAACAAAGACAGCCCGCCCTACAAGCCAGAGGGTAGTGAGCAAGAGCATGACAGCGAAGATGACGGCGATGACAAGGTAATCTCTCACTATAGTTAAACCTATCTACTAAACTGTTTGCTCGTAGATGATCATCAAGTCGGAGAGCGAAGGGGACACAGCTCCCAAGGGGCGGAAGTTGAGAAAGAAGTCCAAGTCCAACGAGAAGACGTCCAAGTCCAACGAGAAGACGTCTGAGTCCAACAAGGAGGCCGTGGGCGCGTTCGAAACGTTCATGGAGGACGAGAGGGTCAAGAGCCTCATTGACAAAGCGCAGCAAGAGTTCAAGGCATACGTATCTCTGGAAAACGCATGGCCGCGCATGAGGGATGGCGTGAACGAGAAGCAGCAAGTGCCTGCTGATATCATTGAGCGGCTCATACGCTCCCACAGCCGATACCAGACGAAGGAATTCCAGGAGCTGTTTGAGCCGAAATGGAATCTGGACAGGACTAAAGCTAAGATCGTCTCCAGAGTATGTGAGGTGCATGATTGCCATCCAATGCTAAAGTTGCTGCGTGCAGGTCAACAAGATGGCCCCTCAGGTTCGTCAAGAGATCAAACAGAAGGCCAGGCTGGTCGTCAATAGGGTGTTCCTCTTTGCGGAGCTGCCACGCGGTTCTGAAGATCAGGATGAAGATGCGGAAGAGCTCAACGAAAGGCTGAAAGAGGCCCAGAAGAAGCGCATCCGATGGCTGAAGGCCAACAACACCTTCCACTACGGGCAAATCAAACTGCCCCCGCCTGACGTTGAACCTGAAGTGGGTTGTTGCTATTGCGCATATTCTGGACGGTTACTGACTCGAGCTAGCTGTGGGACGAGCCGGAGCTGGACATGCCGTTCCACAACCATGTGATCGCAGAAGTCATTGCCGGTATGTGGTACACAGGAAAAAATCCAGACGCCTTCCGGCCGGGCTGCAGGGAGAAGTACGACCTGGAAGGGCAGTGCAAAATCATCCCAAGCAACATGATAGCACTTTGTTGGAGTCTGGGTTAGGATTAGTATAATACTTACTTCAATGTAACCAGTTACTTGAAGTCGAGCAATAGAGTAGAGGATGTCTCCTTCGTTACAGAGGAATAGTAACGAAGTTGTATGATTAAATGAATAGATTACCGAGGTATTCAATACTCGGTAACTCAGAAGGAAGCGTCGGTAATGCTTAAGTCCAGTAGAGCAGTTACCGAAGTGTCGGTAATAAATGATTACCGAGAAGCGATGTTAGAATGTTGATCAGTATGATGAACCTTCTCCGATGAACCCGACTCTTGTAGTCAGTTGAAGTTACTTAGACCTTACTAGTAGCGCGAGGACTGTACTAAGTAAGGTCTCACAATCACAGGTCTTAGAGCGCGTCGGTAAGAACTCAGTGAGAGTGGTCGAGTGGCTAGTATGGCTAACTTAGCACTCGGGGCGAAGCAAGTCTTCGTGTGGCACACAAGGTGAATTTCGGTAAAGAGTGTAGATGATATTCCTGCAGTCTTTCGTCTCGTCTTATATACATTTCCGAGTCCTCAAACCTGTACACTACGAGCAGTCCAAGGCTATCCCATGTACTTTACTTGAGACGTGTCTGAATCCACAGCACAAGTCCTCTCCGTGCCAAGTCCGAAGTATCAGCGCAGCCTTTCCTCGGTGATCCTTCGGTGTTCCCAATACCGACGGTCAATAGTCCTCGGTGATCCTTCGGCGTTTCCAATACCGATTGTCAATAGACCTCGGAGACTCGGTCCTTCCCTCCGTCGGTATTGAAGTCGTAATCGGGGTTTCGGCAATTCCCGTGAAAGACCGGACATTACCAAAAAGTGTCTTGAAGTAATTGTCAAGTCCCTCATTGTGCTTACGTAATGAAGGACCCTTCAATGGCGGAGTCTAACAATAGAAGTGTTTCCAGGGCATATATAGCGGACTTCGGATTGTCAATACATCCATAACACACTTGCCTGCTGCGCCGTAAGTGATCAGATCATTGTCCGTGACGGTGCTGTCTAACAGACGAACAACTTGCAGATCTTGGCCGCCTTCGACGATGTGTTGGATGCCACATCCGTTCACTTTCAACAGAAGGTGTATGCAGCCGTGTATGCCCTTTACGCTGCTGTATGCGATGTAGCCTCTGACATCAGTGACAGATACGATAAGTTGAAGATTGGTGTGGATGTAATCCGACGCGACGAGGACTTGGTTGAACTGGCCAACTCCATGAACAAGACGCTGAAGGATCACATCAAGTAAGTTGGTTATTTTCTCCAAGAAGCATGCTCACACGGCTCAACAGGGTGTATGCTAACCTCAAGCGCGATGATGGCAAGAACGTCAAAGCCAAGAAGGCCGTAGCCGAAGACCCGGGTTTCAACACTGGGATGTTGAAGGCGAAATGGCGGCGGCGAGCCGCCAGTAACGCTACCCCAGCTGCGTCGCAGCGTGCTGCTGAGGCTGGGCCGTCGAACGCTGGTAGTGGGGACAAAGACTAGGTCGGAGTCTGTGGCCACCTCTGTTTGTGACGCAAAGGCATGGACTGAATCTGGGCTATCGGTCTCTCAACTGACATCATTGTCAGGCTGCACCCCGGGCACACAACCGCGTTCTCGGGCTTGTAGGATAGTATCTCGTTGACCGGACTTAAGGTTGTTGTACTCTGTCGTGTCCCCCTCTCTTCATACCAAATGGTACACCGAGTTGCCCTCTTCCATGATGCCCCAGTTACTTTCTTTGGTCGCCGCATCCGCACCGTCCGTACTGTATCTTTGCCATCTGCTGTATCCCTTATCGTCACGTCACGCGCATTATATTCATGAATCATTCCACGCATATGCACCAACGGGCCGAGCCGGGGAAGCCGTCAGTATATTTGACTGGTTGAGACAAATTCAGAGCCACTGGGAGCAACCAGGAGCGGATGGGCAAACATTTTGATCGATTATTGACCAACCCAGAGACAACCCAAGAACAACAAAATGGGGCCGAATCAACTCTCAACCGGTTAAAACACATTAAGACACTATTAGAACGGCAACCAACCAAGGGGAAACAGACTTAAAGTGCCAATGAACCACCCTTGAAACAATTTAACCAAAAGCCCCAACAGCCCCTCACCGGTTTGAAGGATTCACAATAACATGTCTGAACTGATTAAACAACGCGTAAACATGTTGCATTGAGCAAGCGTCTCTTATAACATGGGTACCTTTGTTGAGTATGTTGCGGCAGGCCTAACATGTTGAAACCGATTATTTTATGTTAAAATACGTTGGAATATGTTTGGGAACATGGGCGGTTTTCCCTGATGCCGTTGTACCCCACTAAATCCATCCGGCCGAATGTATATTGCAGCTTTGGAAACAATACAATCAAATGTGTTTTTCAAGGCTCTGGCACGACCGGCCGGGCCGTAGCCCCACTTATCCACAACGCTGCGGCCGGTCCCACTACACATGACTGAAATGGAACCGGCCGGCGACGTTAGATCTCATAGGAATAGGACCTGTTGAAGAAAGAGGTTTTAGGCTTAGTAAGCCCAGTGGCAGTGAAGGACTAAAGAGTGAGTGAACAGACCAGTCCCAAAGGGAAGATCCTATGCTGGCAGGCAGAGGAGAGGACGAAGGATTGTTATCATTACAGGGCAAACCAGCCCAGTATATATACACATTTGATACAGGTCACATGCTGTATCAGTGGTTCATCAGTAAGCACTAAGTCCGAGGTTTTGGGGATATGAGTAAGCTGGTAAGCAGCATGAGTAAGCCAAAACTCGGAGTTTGATGTGGAGAGATATATGAAACGTGATGGAACATCAGGAATAATATGAGACATGATGGAACATCAAAGAGTGATATAGGACGTGATGGGACATCAAGGAATGATATGGAACGTCATGGAACATCAAGGAATGTCGTGGAATATCATGGAATGATCCAGACTAAAGTCACATGACATAATCTAGGCAAAGTCCATCAAAGAACGTATGTAATCTGACATCGCAGAACATAAGTCCATATCCGTACATAACTGATAAGATAAGAACACTGAAAACTCGGAAGTTCAACACTCCCACTTGTTCAAGATGTCGAGTATCTCATCATGCCAACCGAAGACCTGAATTTCTCGATTCCACTGAAGGGAACATTCTTGGTCAAGGCATCAGCAAGTTGGTCTTCACTTGCGACAAAATAGATGTCCATCTCCCCACGTTCGTAGAACTCTCGAATGTAGTGATACCGGATTTCTATGTGCTTGGTGCGGCGATCCACAGCAGGGTTCACCGCAAGGAAAATGTTGCCTTGGTTGTCAAGACAAAGTGGAGTTGGATGAGACATGTTGTCTCCCAGTTCTTCTCCAAAATGACGCAGCCAAGCCATCTGACGACAGCAGTCGGAGCTGGCCTTATACTCTGCTTCGGTTGAAGACAAAGATACCGTTGGTTGGTGTCTTGACACCCAAGAAACGACACAATTGGCCATGAGGAAAACAAAGCCAGATGTAGAGTGCCTATCATCACGGTCTTCAGCCCAGTCTGAGTCTGAGTAGGCGATCAGACCAGAGTTTGAGCCTCCATCGTAGCAAAGTGCAAGTTCCTTTGTCCCTTGAAGATATCTCAGGACATAGTACGCAAACTTCATATGCTCTTTAGACGGATTTGAAGAAAACTTCGCCAGACGCGTGACCGCGAACGAGATGTCTGGGCGAGTACCAAGCATAGCATACATGATGCTGCCAATGATGCTCTGGTAACGGGTTCGGAAAATTTCAGATGCAGTGTCGGTGTTCTTCTCTAATACTGCTCCAGCGGGAAGAGGCGTCCTTGCAGACTTGCAGTTGGACATTTGGAACCTCTCCAAAACAGACTGAATATAGTCTTCCTGGTCAACAAAGATACGACGTGCAAGACGTTCTCGACGAATGTGTAGACCAAGGAAACGCTGGACAGCTCCCAGATCAGTCATCTGGTATTCCAAAGACAGTCTCTGCTTGATGTTGTCGATGAACAATTTCGAGTTGCCCATGAGGAGCAAGTCGTCGACATACAATATGATTAAGCAGGTGTGTCCTTCAGATTCACGAGAGAAGACATAAATTCCGGCATCCGAATACGTCCGTTTAAACCCTAAGTCAAGGAGAGACTTGTGGATCTTAGCGTTCCATTGACGAGATGCTTGCTTCAAGCCATAAATGGCCTTCTTGAGCAGACAGACCCAGTTCTCCTTCCCAGGTACAGCCCATCCTTCGGGCTGTTCCATGTAGATTTCCTCGTCAAGGTCACCGTTAAGGAATGCCGTCTTGACATCCATAGACTCAATCTCCCAATCTTCAAGTGCTGCATGCGCCAATAGATAGCGTACGGATTCAAACCGTGCAACAGGAGAAAAAGTCTCGGTATAGTCTTGACCCCATACTTGGGTAAATCCCTTTGCAACAACACGCGCTTTGTAGCGACCATCGTGTTTAATCGCATAAACCCACCGGCACTTGATAACCTTTCGGTTTTTAGGCCGTGGAACTAGAACCCAAGTCTTGTTGTCCATAAGTGACTTGTATTCAGAACCTTCAGATGCATGCCATTTAGCCTTGTCTTGAGACTCCATAGCTTCCCTGTGACTCTGGGGAACACCATGGTTTGCTTCTGCTAGCATCCGCACAAACATGAGAGTTTCAGCCTCAGATTGTTGACGGCCTTGAGCATCGGTACGACGATCAATATTCGCAGGTGGCTCGTCACCATAGGCATTGTCCTTGTTTCTCTTAGGATTTTGTCCAGCACCTTGACGACGTGGACGTTCGTACTGAGGTTGCGGAGGAGGTACAGGATCAGGTTGCGGTTGTGGAATGTCTCCCACTGGCTCTGGATGGTCTTCAGGTTCAGGTTCATGTTCCGGGATAGGAATGGGAATAGGTAAATCCTCAGAATCAGAATCCTCCGAGTTCGCATCCTCAGGAGGTTCATCAAACGGCTTATCCAGGGATTTCGGATTATTGCCTAAATCTTTACGTGCAGGAAATGTCTCTTCATCGAAGGTCACATCACGAGACACAACGATACTTCGAGTGGCCGGGTTCCAGAAACGATACCCTTTGGAACCTAACTCATAGCCAACAAAGATCATCTCAACAGCCTTCTTGTCGAGCTTCCCAGCTCTTTGTTCCTTCTGCACATGCACATATGCCTTGCACCCAAATACCCTAAAATACAAAATGTCCGGGACTGTGCTATCCCAGAGGGTAATGGGGCATTGCCAGTTAAGGCGTCGCATTGGTTGCCGATTATAAATGTGAACCGCAGCATCAACAGCCAATTGCCAGAAACCATGGCTTAGTCCAGCATGATGAAGCATAGACATAGCCTTCTCGACAATGGTCCGATTCCAGCGCTCAGCTCTCCCATTCTGTTGAGGAGAGTATGGCATCGTCTTCTGATGTTCAATGCCAAATTTGCGCAAATGTTCGGTAAATTCTGCAGAGGTATATTCTCCCCCTCGATCCGAGCGTACAGCTTTGATTTTCTCGTCAGTTTGGTTCTCAGCCCATGCCTTGAAATCATCGAACGCTTGGGTCGAATCATTCTTATGTTTGAGGAAATAGGCGCGGCCAAGACCGGAGTAGTCGTCGAGAAAGCTGATGAAGTAGCGCCATCCACCAATAGCGGTGGTACGCATAGGACCATCTTCGTCGGTATGAACAATTTCAAGAGGTTTTGAAGCTCTCTTGTCCGACGCGGGAAATGGAGCACGATGAGACTTGCCCCATTGACAACCTGCACAAGGAGACTTGTCCTTGTCACCGATAGAATCCACACCCTTGGTGTGCTTGGGTAGTTGACGGATAACTTCTTCAGACGAATGTCCGAAGCGTTGATGCCAAAGGCGAAAATTTGACTTGTCCGCAGACTTAGCCAATTGCGGTTTCATAATTTCCATGTGCAACATATAGAGATTGTTGAAGGGCGTGTGATGCGCCTCCATGATCTTGTTACCACGGATTCGGTCAGAACCATGCAAAATAGGTTGGTCAAAAATGACCATACGGCCTCCACCTTGAACAAGGGTGAAACCTGAACGTTCAATAACTCCAGTTGAAAATAGGCGACTAGACGCGGCAGGGATATATGCGACATTGGTGATAGTCGACACAATATGTTTCCCTTCAACATGCACAACGCCTTTGATAGTGCCTTCACCGTAAGCTGCAATCTTACTCTTGCCGGCTGTGCTAAAAACCATGGGCTCCTCGTAAGGAGTGTAATCCCAGAAATCAGCCATGTCGTTGGTGATCGTTTTGGATGCACCAGAATCCATAATCCAATCAGTCGTTCTTCCTGACGCGGTGTGAGCCGCAGTATACCAAGAAGCAGTCATAGTATTCGCAGACGATGAGGAGGATTCTACAGTTACAACATTCGAAGAGTCCGACGCAGATGCAGTGTTAGAAGTACCAGAACTAGATTGACCATTTCCTCCGTTCTTTCCCTTTCCTTTGCCCT